ATCTTGCTCGACGCGCTGCCGGTCGAGTTTCGCCATCTTGCTACCACATCGATCACGAGCCCGCAGCCATACGACGCCCTCTGCACTGCGCTGCTCACCTGCTACGGACTCATGTACCGACCGCTTTCAGGGTCCCGCGACTTTGGGGCTGTCACTGCGTCGCAATGTGTGCTACCAACCGGCACGCAACCCTCTAATAACCATGACCTCACCACTACGGCTACGACTCCCTCTACCTCAGATCCGGTCAACAGGAACATCGAATCCTGCACCCGACCACGACGACGAGGTAGAAGACGCTCGCACTTCCACTGACTACACCACCGAGAGGTGCGTTCCGTTGGCGCCCACGTACAAAGGTTCACCGAAGGTGCCTGCCACATGCACAATTTCTGTAACATCAACGGCACGCGACACCTCAGCGACCCCATACTCCACGACGGCTACCTTGCCGCGCGCCTCAGAGTCTGGGCACGAGATATTTTCACCCATTATTCGGCACCCGATCCCGGAGCTTCCACAGTCGACATTATCCAATGAACATGATCTTCATCAACCTTGGCAATCTGCGCATCCTGCAAGAAGCCACTTCCATCCACCTTGACGTCTCCTGAAGATGAAATTGTTGCCCGCGACATGCTACAGCAGAACTTCCGAGATGCTGCTACAATGACCAAGGACCAGATGACAGATTTGCTAATGCCAGAACTGCCAGCCCACTGCTCCTTGTCAACAGCCATGTTGGTGCCATGCGTGCTGTCGGAGACGCCGCCGCATCCTTTATGTTTCACTACTCGCTCGTCCTGGTTCGTTTCAATGCATAGCACCATCTCGCCACCATCACCGGCTCGGCTTTTTCCGCGCCCTCCCACGGCTCCGCCTGTGGGTACCTTTGTCAGACACGCATTCTCGAAGCACCGGGTGCGCTCTCGAGTGATCCCGCCAAGTCATCGTGGGACGCTCATGTTTATGGCCACAGCGACTCGACACTTCCATCTTTGCCTGCTGCGTTTCTCCCTGTGTCGCCCGTCAGATACCCACTGGTTGCCGATTGTCCCTTCCAGTTGACGACCTGGACTGCTCACGGACCCCGATTCGTTTTGCGAACCTAACTCGCTTGTATATAACCTCTCATTATTTTCATTCCGGTCCAGCTTCATTTCTGCAGGGGGGAGTAATCTGTAGCGTCATCATCGCCATTCATCATCATCGTCATTTTTCTAGCCACCGCGCTGTGCCTCTCGTGCAGCTCATGCGAGAGCTCGAGGCGCGAGCGGTGGAGAACGAGCACCAGGCCTGGCAGTTCGGACATGGCAGCCGCTGCCGCTCTGCTTCGGCAATCGCCTTTGATAATAAAGCGGCAAGAGAACGACACGACCACGTTGGCCGCCGTCCCGTCTTCCTCTCTCGCTACAGGGTCTAAAGACTGGTAACTGGAGGGACGTTTCAGGGTGCAGAAAACCACTACATCCAGTTTGGTTCCTTCAGTTTTGCAATGAAGTATGAATATAACAAAGGCACCACATGCTGCAGTTAAGAGTGAAAAATGGTCGTCAATTTGTGAACAAACAATGGCCATGCTGAGCATGCTCGCAAGTGTAGCTTTGAACAATCATGGGAAGAAATCAATTGAGATTTTCAAGCCGGGAAGACTGACCTCTTTCCTGGATTTATAGTGACACCAGTTGACTGTTCTAAGGGCGGCTAGGATGCATATGAGTGCTTGTGCGGCTCAGTTTCTGAAGCACTGGCTTGCCACGGCATTAAGTCAGTCTCCCAATCAAGACTCGCAACGAGCGCACCACATCATGCCAGAGGCACTCTGCAAGGGCCTTTGGTCCTGCCTTTATGATAGGCACACGAAGAACATTCATGATAAAGAAGTATGAATGAATAGACTTTATTTAAAGTCCGGCAGTTTTACCGGGCGAGGTGGGGGAAGAGGGTATTAACCGCTGTCCCTTCCCACTCTCCGTTGACTATGATGGCGGTGCCTCAGGTGACCGCTTGAAGTCCTTGCACCCGGGCGGCATCTTCAGCTTGCCGGACCGCCCAAAGCTGGTCGGCCAGCTCGTCACTTGTGAGTGCTGCCTCCCAGCTGCAGCGCAGCTGACGCCGCCAATCGGCAACAGTGATCGCAGCGGCGGTGGAGGCCGGCCCCTGCCCTCGCGCGATGGTGGCAGCAGCAATTCGCCTCGGATTTCGTCCCTGCCTAACATGCGTCACGAAGGGAGCGACGGCAGTGACGTTAACTTTTTCAGCACACTCCCAAAGCATGTGCTGCAGTGTGGCCCTTTCCCCGCACGCTTTACACACGTCCGTCAGGTATAGGTGAGAATAACGCAGGCGTAAGATCACTGGACCCGGTTACGTATCTGTTCATAGTAACCTCAGAGTTACAGCCTGTTTTTTCTCCAATTTGTTGTGTGGTGGTGAATATTTGCGTCTGTTTAGTCTGTAATGTTGTGTAATGTCATTGAATGTGGTCAGGCGAACACCCCACGACCATACCAGTTGTGTGGATAATGCCATCACCCCGCTCTCGGAGGGGAAGGCGGCCACCGAATCGTCCGCGGCTCAGTGAGTGAGATCTCGAGCCGCGGTGTGGGCCGCCTGGTTACCTGCGAGCGGGAAGCTGGTGTGAGCCAGGGTCCACAAAAGAAAGACATTTGCATGTTCAGTTTTGAGATACGACCACAACGCCAAGGCCATCGCTCCTCGAAGCTCGTCGCCATCCTTGTTGCCATTACTTGATTGTAGAATCCAGGCCACCAGACACGAGATGCGACCCCGCGCGAAGCCAGGGATGCATAAAGAAGTACATAGCCTTTTTTTTTTGCGGCTATCAGACTCTTGCACTGCCAAATCTTCATTTTCATGACGACGCGGTTTACAGCATGCAGTGCCAATAACTGTTTTCACTTAGCCACAGTTACTGCATACTGTGTTCAGAGTGACTTACAAACGTAAAAGGTAACTTTTCTACATGTTACTGCGAGTTCCGTAACAAATAGGATGGCACTCTAAGCTTCCCGAGAGAGACACACGCGGTGGCACATAGACTTTGGTTAGGCTGTATATACAGTGCAGTCCACTTATAACGATACCAGATATAACGATATATCGGTTATAACGATGGGTCGACTTAACAGTCTCATTTTATGCATTGGGGCTATGGGGAAAAAAACCATATATAACGATATGTTATCCACCGCATATCGGATACAACGATGAAAAGTTTGCCGTGGACGGCATGTTTCATTCAGAATAATCATAACATTTAGATTGATAAGTTCCTCTGAAACGAACTATGCCGAGACAAGACGAAAAGTTAGCGTAGGCGAGTACGTATCTGCCGCCACTGCAGCACAGCGCCGGCAGCGCGTCCCGGCCGTTCAAAAAGCCGAGGAGAGCATCGCGAGTTGGCGCGACGCGCTACAGATGGCGCCTGCTGTGTCACGTTTTGCGCCTCGCCGCGCGTCGACCGCGGAGAGGCTCAGAGAATTTTTAAAAAAAATGCGAAAAGCAAAGCGCCGCGCTCCGCGGCTCCCTGCCTTCTACAACGGCAAGCCGGCAAGCTACTCGTAGCTTGCCGAACGAAAGCGGGAAAGAGAGAGAAAATAAAAAAAGCGAAAAGCAAAGCGGCATCGGGGCGGGGCCTCGTTGGCATTCCGGCTGTGTACCTCTGGCTGTGCTTTCTTCCTCCCACTGCTCCCACCCCGCCGTCGGTCAGTCTCTCTTCCTCAGCGAACCCGTGATGCGTTCTTCGGAGTAAGAAATAAAGTCTTGTTTTTGACATCCTACTATCTACAATATTTATTAATTGGTGAAAATAGCGAAATGAAGCCTGGAGCTACAAAAGGTACGTCCGGCGACGATTTTTTGGCGGCAGTCCAGATATAACGATCACCGGTTATAACGATCATATTTTTAGGTTTTCTCGATATCGTTATAAGTGGACTGCACTGTATAACGATGAAGAACACATCGCTGGAATGGAATAAGGGCGTCATTAAGAGAAGGCTCTAGCTGTATTTGTTGTGGCAAAAAATTGTTTTGAGCCATAAACAGGCAGACATGTAGATAGGTGGACTAGTGAACTTGGGCGCAGTTGCCGCCAGCTGTACACCAGTTTGTATGAAATTGTAGCAAAATGTCGCAATAGATGCAGCTGGTCCACCACTGTCAAAACGATAAGTTGAAAATGCTGGTTGAGCATTATTACATGTTTGCACTTGATATTGGTAAATAACCAACAAAATACTATATATATGAAGTTAATTTTGCGACTCGCACAACACCGTCAGTTTCAGTTTCATAGATGATGGGTGGGGTAACATTTTTGCTTGGATATCTTGAGAGAAACTGAACCGAACGAAACTTAGTGCAGCAAAAAGATTGGTCATAAATTTTTTATTTAACATGACAAAAAAAAGCAAAAAAGTTATCCTAGAAAAAAAAACACATTTTTTTCCCTTCGCCTCATACCTCAATATGAACTGATGTCGTAGTCGTGGCACAGACAGCCCTGTGTAGTCCTATGGGGGAAAAACTTCCAATAAGGCAGAGTTGGGCTAGTTGATTTGGGTTCATTTTGAAACAGTGCAAGAGACTAACACTGGAACAACAACAACAACAAAAAAAGACGACTGCATTGACTCTGCCATGTAGGGAAACGTGTATTGAAGTGTAAACATATACTTACAATGAGTGCACGCTGAACGCATGAATGCACATCTGTGCTCATTTCTAGTGTACCACCGACTGGTCAATTGATTATGTTCACCGTTAAAGCTCCATGAACGTATTTACGGAATCATCTGCCATGAACGTGGAGTAGCATGTACTATGTAATTAGAGATAATGACTTTAGAGGTGGCTTCTTTGGGCGTGGTGCAATGTCCATTAATTCTGGCGCCTGCCTGCAGATTTTTTATGCTCCCCTTTGAGTTCGAATTAGCGGGATCTTACTGTAGCAGAAAATAACTGTCTTCTCGTACCTTGAGTGCATCCCGCTCAGAACGAAGGGCCACCAGGGATCCATTGGCAACTGCAAGAGACCCCTCTAGGGTGGCCACCAGCTGGGCAGAGGAACACAGCCGCTGGGACAGAGAGTCCCTCTCTGCGACAGTCGAGCGCTTCTCGGTCTCCAGCGAGCTGCACAAAGACTGCACGATTTTCAGTGGGCAAAGCAGAAAGCAACTGTGATCAAGCGCAGTTGTATTGGAGGCCAGCCGATTACTTTTGTCAGGCAAATAACCTTGTGCAGAAAGGATATTAATGAAAACCAACAGACAATGATTGCAAGGAGGATTTTGTTAGCAGTAACTTCACAGTAGCAGTAGTCATCACTGCGGTGGTATACTACTAATGGCCTGCGAATAAATGCGAAAAAAACAAAAGCTGTCTTTTTCAGATCTAGGGACACTGAAACTAATCTTCACCAATCGTTAACCCTTGAGGGAAAGCCCGTAGAAGTAGTGGAGAAACAAAGTTCTAGGTGTAACTTTTTCCGCTCATATGACATGGTAATGTCATGTGTGGAATCATTAACTAAATCATTATCGCGTGCTGCTGGAGTATTGTCACGAGGTCAGCACTTGTTTTTCGGAAAAAGCTAAAGTGTAAATCTAACATGCTTTGTTTTCCTCGCACATAAACTACTGCCTTCTTGCCTGAAGCACCACAACCTTAGGCAACGTAAAAACTATTCACTTATTGCAAAAAAGGGCACTGCGCTACATTGCAAATGTCTCACGCAGTACTTCTGCTGTTACTTTGTTTCACCGCTACAAAATAATCAGCATGCAACACATGTACAGTTTTCGGCTCATTAACAACTACTTCTTTGCGAAGGAACACTTCCGAACATTTCTTAAAGACTTTTCAAACACAAGTCAACACACGGATTCACGAACCCGAAGCATACACAGGTGGCTCAATCCTTGTTATCGCACGAATTATTTTCTACAATCCCTTAGATATGCATTACCATCCCTACGTAATAAATATATAAATGATCAGCCCAACTTTTTAATGTTAACAAAAAAAGAAATGCGAGAATATTTCTTCACCCTGGCCTAGTATCTTTCTTTTATCATGCTATGTTATCATTACTCTATCCCATTTTTTTTCAGTCTCTGCCCTGTTTATTTTGATACTGTTTAGTGTATTCATGAGTGCAGATACATAATTATTAGTTTGGTCTGTGTCTATTTGTTCTACTGTTGTATTTGTAGAATATTCGTCCAATTATTTGTTCCGTTTGCCTACTTACATTACAGCAAATTTTTAAGAGCTTTAATCTCGAAACTGCCGCCATGTACGTAGGGCCTCGGGCACTCTGAAGTGGTTTTTCAACAGTTTTTCGCCTGAGGGACCCCCTACTAGTTGTAAAAGACTTGTTGGAAATGAATGAATGAATGAAGAAGGAAAAATGGACATAAAGATTACTTGCCATGGGCAGGGAGTGAGCCTGCGACCTCTGAATAACGCGTCCGATGCCCTACCGCTGAGCTACGGTGGCAGCGATTCCCCCATCCACTTTATAGGGTATACGAGTTCATTTAAACATGGGAGCATCAGTCAGTGCCGCCGTAACTATTACTGCCAGGTATGGGACACTAACATACCCTATATGTTGCTTAGCATCATTATCTGTTCGGATTACTATTACGAAGAAAACAACCTTTTAAGGGGGGGCGCGGCAAGTAAAGTGCCGATTTTGGTCAAAATATGCGATTTTCTGATTTATTTTTTTTCGTAATCTTCAGACCTTCAACTTCCTTGTTCTAAAATATTACAGCGAAACGTGCGCTACAAATCCCGCAAATAGTGTTTTTGCCGAGGCTAGTCGCCGAAAAGTGCGAAAAAAAAGCCCCTGAAACGGTGTTGTTCACGCCGCACAAACGCGCCAAGTTGTTGACCGTGGGCCGCCATTTTGGTAGCTTTGGAAAGAGGAGAAAGCCGGCTTCCCGATGGTCGCGGTCTCGTATTTGGCCGAGTGAAAATAAAAGCGCGAGGAGCAAGTAAAAAAACGAAAACGAAGAACGGCAATTGGCTGCGCGGGTCACGTGGTAGCAGGCGCGACCTCTTACTGGTCAAAGCTGCGCCGCGCACCTTGGCAACCTTGGAAGCGCGAGCGCATCTGCGGCCGCCGTGTCGAGAATCATCCGGCGTGCGCTTCGTTTTTTGCCAGTTTGCTGTTTTTGTGATAGTTCGCGTGCTTTTTTTACCAAGCTTTGTTTACATCGGTGGTCTCTTCTGAGTGCTTGCTCATACTGCGGTGCTATGTTGCCGCAAAAAAAGTTCCGGAGCGTCCACAAGTACGGCAAGCGTCGGAAAGCTTGGAACAAAGGGCAGACGACTGCGGCTGCCGTCCCAGTCGCAGTTCCGGACGGAGCATGCTCTTCAAGCGTCACGGAGCCTCTACTCAGACCCTTCGCTGATTGTTGTGAGGCCGAGAGTGTGGAAGGTGCCACATCGTCGTATGTCAGACCGCCGGATGCCGTCGACCGTGATGGACGCTCTCGCGAACCCGATTGCGCTGGCACCGCGTCGGCAGCCGTTGCAACTCCAGGCGTGCGCGCGTCGAACATTCTATCGCGAGTTTCGGCCCAGATTCCGAGCAGTGAAGAAATCGCGCAGCGGGCGCAGACAAGGCGGGATGTTTTGGATGCCGTAGCATCGAAGTCCGCTTCACAGCGGAAGCTCGAGCTTCTGAACGAAGGCTGCGACGAAAATGACGGCGGTAAGGACTCCACATTCTTCATTGTAAATAAGAAGATGCTGAACGGTCTGCTTTCGTCAGTAAAGTGCAACAAGTGCGACGAAGGGTCGATACGCCTCGAGACTACGCACTGCCTTGGACTCGCGGCGAGGATGGAACTTTTTTGTGACAATTGTGGCAGAGTGAACAGTGCGTGGTCGTCCCCGAGGTGCTCCGGGCAACAAAAAACGAACCCCTTTGAGGTAAACGTGCGTGCTTTGAGGGCTGTGCAATCAGTTGGCAGAAAACAATCTGCCATAAATGACATTTTTTCTGCGATGGACATTTCGCATCGAGCACTGCACCACAAGTCCTACCAGAGACTGCAAAGGAAGTACAGCCACCCTGCCACCACATCAGCTGCCACCCGCATTGAAGCAGAAAGTGCACAGAAGGTGCATGACATTTACAAGGACCTAGGAGGAGTGCCAGGCAACATTGACGTCATTTACGACGGCACGTGGATGACGAGGGGGCACAGAAGTCATATTGGCGTGGGCTGTGTAATCGAGCTGTACACAGGCTTGGTCTTGGACCACTGTGTCCTGTCCAACTACTGCCAAGGCTGTGCTGTTGGCCCCAAGCCTGGTGACGACAACTATGAGGAGTGGCTTGAGAAACACAAGCCACAGTGCCAAAAGAACACCGATGCTAATGCAGGCCAAATGGAAGTAGAAGCAGCTAGGATCATGTTTGAAAGATCGTTTACCAAGTACAAGCTTCGATACATCAATGTGCTCTGCGACGGTGACAGCCGTACGTACCTTGCCCTCACGCAAGACAAGGTGTATGGCTACATGGTGATTAAGAAACAGGAGTGTGTGAACCATGTGAAAAAAAGAATGGGCACTTCCTTGCGCAACCTTCTTGATGAGCACAAATCCAAAGGCCGAGGACTGAGCATGGGTGGCAAAGGCCGGCTGACGCAGGGCCTGATAAAGAAGTTGACGAATTATTATGGCTGGGCCATTAAGAGCCACCCCAACGATGTTCCTGGCATGGAGAGGGCCATCATGGCCACTTATTACCATGTAACATCCACAGACCAGGATCCACACCACAACCTGTGCCCACGTGGGACTGACTCCTGGTGCCCGCACAATCAGGCATTGGCCAAGGGAGAGCCGCTGCCGCCTCACAAACATAAACTGCCCCCTCACGTGCGAGTGGCACTGCTGCCAATCTACAAGCGCCTCTCGAACAAAGAGCTCCTTGAAAGGTGTGCGCAGGGAAAAACCCAGAACGCTGTGGAGAGTATGAACAGCCTCATTTGGTCACTCCAGTCCAAGAGCCAGTTCGCCTCCCTTCGAAGTGTGGAAAGTGCAGTTGCAGATGCAGTCTGCCGTTTCAATGGTGGCTGCAAGAGTGCGCTGCAAGAGATCACTGCTCAACTGGGCTTCAATCCAGGAGACTGCTCTTTGCGGCGAGCAGCCGAAAAGGATGCCAAAAGGGTAAAGAGGGCTCAAAAGGCGCATTGTTCCACGACAAAGAAGCGCAAAACTGGGTTGCGCTCTACAGAGGCCAAGGCCACAGCATCTCAGGATTACTGCCCAGGAGGATTCTGAGTGTTTTAGGCATGTTGTGAACTTCCAAACAAGAGTGAACTTTCAAAGTCAGTTTTCTCAACTCTTGATTTTCGCCTATGTGCCTTCGCTAGAACATCTGTCATTTTCTAACAAAGACTGATAGAGTCGTTCCGTTTTTTGCACTAGGCTCAGGAGGCTTTTAGCAGTGCAATAAAGCTTTATCTCTCTTCTTACTCATCATTTAAAATTTTTAGAACACATTTTATAATTACTGCGATGTGTGCGCAAAACAACATCCATGTTTTGGAAATTTTATTTATGGTTACAAGAACTAGAAAAATCAACTAATAGCTTCTTTGCACAAGTTGATGCTTTGGGAACATAATAATATGAAAAAATAATTTCATTTAGCAATGATTATCTCTTTAAGTGTGAAGAGCATTAATTAGTATAATTATGCTTGTAACTCAAAAAGTACAAGAGGTATTTGAAAACGGTTTTCATATTTGGAATCCTCACAATCATCCACATACACACACCAAATTTCATCACAAACAGTACATTAATAAAAAAATTAGTTTTACTTGCCACGTCCCCCCTTAAATTTACACTTCTTCCCTTCATGCAAAAAAGATTCTTATTGGCACTGGTAAACTTGCTTCAATAAGCTGAACTCCAACTTAGTTGACAGATTTTACAAAGACGATCTGGAAAGGCTAGTCTCTGTAAGAGGCACACACAGTCTTTCCTACACCGTACAGCCTGGTTTCCCCAAGTGCTGCACAGAACTCATCCGTGTGCAGTGAAGCACAAGACAACCAATCTCAGTGCTAATTTTCTAATTTAACGTCGTTACGATTACT